AACATGGTATTTACCATTCCCAAAAATCGCTCAAATTACCTCATTGAGGGCTTGTTTGGAAGAGGAACGATTTCCGCAGATTTCTGTCTTAGGGATTTTTTAATATGGCCGCGATTATGAATTATCGGTATTTAAAGTTAAAACACTGCGTTTTTAGCTCTTCTTTTGACTGTAAGTCGAGTTTTAGTTAAAAAATAAAAAAATCCTAAGACAGAAAGTTTCAATTTACTGTAATATTTCTAAAAATCCAAAAATCTAACCTTATTTTTAATTTTCGGGGCCTCTTAAAATCAGTTGTTTGCTTCTCGTGAACCCTTTTTGAAATCCGAAATTGATCTCATTTGGAAGCAAATGTACACAAAGTGGAGCAAAGGCAGTGCAAGAATAACATTTGAGGTAAACAAAATCACTTATTACTCCTTGAAGGAGGTCAGGACCTCCGGACGGAGTGTTGTGAACGGCTGATTTTTCATGTTCGCAGTCAAAACACAGGGTTCTCTTTGTGTAATCGGCACGCAATTTTATACGCCGTCTGCGGGCATGCCCGTGTTGATGCACGAATGTGTACGTGTATTTTTGCCGTTGCTGCTTTCGCGGTCAATGTAATATTGCAGACGCACCCCTACAATTACGAGGCGAATTGGAATGGTCCAGAAAAACGCGTTGTTTGGAATAGCAGTGGGGGGTGGAACTTCATGCAGATACGGGGTGGTTTTGATAAGTGGTTCCACATGTTTTTGCCCATGCTTAAGAGATGCCAAGTTTTTTGGAAGATGTTCGCAGCCAAAACGCATTCTTCCGTACGTTGCATTTCTGTGTAATTTCGCATGTGGTGTGGCATTATGTCCGGGATGATGCACGTCTTTTTATTTTTACCGTAGCTGTTTTGATATTGGAGTAAATGGTTATTTTCGAAACATCCCCATGTCCTTGAAATGTTGTCGCCCGTTTATGTGACCGGTAGTAATTATAAGTCGCGGTCAGGCTGATGGGGACGGAAATGTGGGGTGGTCAGAGGTCAACATTACGAAATTTAAATACCGATGACGTAATCCTATCGATTTCAAATTGGTCGGCTGTGGCGACCTAGTGGCGGCGTGTATTGAATCACGTAGCAACTGGCCGGTCGTCCTAGCAACGAGCATGCTGGCCGCTTCTGTACACATGGCCAATATTTTTGGGTTGGGCCGCTCCATAGTGTTAGTGGAGCAGCTCTTTGTAAACATGGACAATATTTTTGAGCAACCCATCAATGTGTTCTGCCTCGTGGTCGGATGTGGTCTGGGGCTGGTAAACCGCACATACTAGTAGATCGGGTAATTTTATGATTTGCTAGTTGTAAAGGCGTCTTGTAGTATGAAGTATATGAAGAAGTAGCCTGTGTTACACAATCATGCTTTCGGCCGGATTGATGTGCAACTGTTACTAATTACAGGGACTGCGCTAATGACGACCAGTCGCGCTGTCCTGATACAACGCGAATGTTGGGCAATATGCGAGTGGTTCCCTGTAGACAGTCCTGGGAGTCATTTTTTTCGCACATTCGCACATTCCAGGAGCCAAACCAAAATACGTTCATGAACCGAGTCCAAAAAACCGAAACGTGAAAATCGGATGATCGGACCTGATGTACATTTCTCTTTCTGTAGATTGTACACACAATACACACATATTAAGATAATCTGGCCATGGCAGGTAAAAAAAAAAGGAACCCTGAATCATACTAGATTAGCGTAAATGCATGTTTATGCGTTCAAAACAAGAAAAGAAATTGTTTCCCGATATTAATCTCTTGAAACACGGCGCTGAATATTGACGCAAAAATATTTCGGGCATCGCGCGCCCTTCCCCGTTGTTTAGACTGTATGCAAATCCCGCGTGACGTGTCGGCATTTCGCATCTCTGATTGGTTGTTGCGTCTTAAGATCACTGAGTCGACGCGCGTTTAAACAATTTTTCTTTGTTCGATTTATCACACTTCACAGAGAATTGTCGCCAATGGCTACTTCTTTTTGTTGCAATATATAATACTTCACGGAGAATTGTCGCCTATGGCTTCTTGTTACATTTTCTTATTAATTTTCCAAATTAAGTGTTAATTTACATAATCAATATCTGCCTGTGTTTCTCTCTTTCTCAATTACATGTCACAAGCTTGAATAGTCCTATAATGTAATGCAGCTGATTTATAGAATTTCTTCTTTAATTATGCAAATTACATCCAGATTTGAATAATTGCCGCATAATTATACCAAGCATCACGTAAGCTACCTACATACCAAAAATCACGACGATCCTTCCACCGGTTCTTGAGTTATCCTCTTTTGAATATTTTCAAACAGATACATGTAGCCCTGCAGTTCCTGAGCAAGCCGCTAGGGGGCCCAAGGTCACGCCACTTCTTCCCCAGCAAAAGAGCTACCTACCATCCAAATTTCGTCACCCCAGCATGTGTAGATCATGAGATATCAAAACCAGAAGTTCAGCTGCAGTACCATAACAAGCCGCTAGGGGGTCCAAAATCTAATCATTTTCAGGTCTCATCAAGACCTACCCACCTACCAAATATCAGGATAATCCATCTAAGCTTTCTTAAGTTATGCTGTTGACAGACAGACACACAGACAGACAGACACACGGCCAGGAAAACATAACCTTCGCCATAACCTTGGCGAAGGTAATCATGAACAGATATTTATAGCTTAAAACTTAAGTATTAGTGGCTTAATTCCTCAATGAACCCTTTTACCATCTGGGCGATAGGCTATTACAAACTCATCTGACCTTGGAGCCCCAGTAGGCCATCAGCTACTGGATACAGCACAGTCCACACAGATCACAAGTATTTAGAGGTCAATAACAGGTCAAACCATGAAAAATGTCACACTTTTTGGCCATATTTTAGAAATATACATTCTTCTGTCCTTCTTACCAGAAAACTGGGCCTTTCTGAGCAAAATTTGCCCAGGAAAAAATTAGTCTGCTAGTTCTGCGCATGATGATTTGCTGGTCCCTACCCTTACAGCATTGCTAGCTCTGTTCTTTGGGCATAGCAAAAAAGACCCATTTTACACAATTTTATAGTGGTGTATGCAAAACTATGTCTTACTCTCACCTCTCGAATAAAAGTACCCCCTGGAATAAAAGTACCCCCCGGACAAATCTTCAAAATCTAATAAAAGTACCCCCTGGAATAAAAGTACCCCCCGGAAAATTTGAAAACTGACATGTTAGCAACGTCTATGCTCCAAAAATGTGTTCTCACGGTGTATGCATGGGTCTACATGTCACTTACAATTATTGACAGGTTCTGAATAAACAAATTACCCCCTTAAATATGATACCCTTCAAAACCTAATAAATACCCCCAGATTGAGAATAAATGTACCCCCTGGAAAATTATCAAATTAACAGCCTGTATTGTTGCAGGTTTTTGAGGAGTATATGTCACTTGCAGTGTAATATATCTATGATTATGTCATCCATCAATATTCTAGCTCTGCCTTCATACAATTTGTTGTTAATCATTGCAATGCATGCTGGATCAAACAGGAATAGTAATATCAAGTTTTGAAATAACTTAATTAAAAATTTAGAGTTCTTGATTTTTTTTTAAAGCTTGATAATTATCAGTAAGATTTCATTTAGAGCTTGAAGTTGAACAAATGCTTAACATATGCTCTATACAAATTGTGATACTAATATGTAACAGCCATTGGCAAAAGAATTGATAATCATCTACAAATATTTTAACATAATTATTTCTTTTATCTTTCCCAAATTTACATTTATGCAATGCATATTTCTCTTTATAGTCACTTCTATAAAAAGTAATGATCAATGCTACAACATTATAATAGATCAAACAAATGGCAACATTGTAACACACAGCATTTCACAACCTCAGTCAAGGGTCTTATGTTACATGTGCTTGTCTTTGATGTGCCCACTGAGGTATGCAAATGAGTAGGGGCGGGGCTTCAAGTTTGGAACAGGAGTTCTTGGAAAACTGAGACATTATTTTGCAGGGGGAAATATTTTCTTTTGAATATTTCTTTGTGATAGTTCATACGTTAAACTGCAATTTTACTCCTGTTTGTGGTCTTTTAAATACTGATTATCTTTGTTGAATGCAACATGCATATGTATATTTTTGACAAATAGTTTTATATATATTATGTAAAAAATTGCACCCCCCTACTAGAAATGAACTCTGCCGATCGTGGGAATTACGTGTTTTACTTCATTGAGAATGGACTTTTTCCAGTGCTAAATTTTCATGTTTGTGGTAGGATTTTCGACTCTTTGGGAGTATTACAGTTTGTAATGGCTAGAATACATTGTTATGTGGTATTATTTTAACATATACCCGAGAAAAAGATTGTTTTGAGCAAGGAGTGTTGAGTGAGATGTGTGTGCAAGGTGCGTGAAAATGTTGCGAGTTCCGCCGATTTTTCTATAAATAAAAACGCCCGTTACATATACTTCATATTTCCGACACAATACGTGTTCCCAAATATAATTTACATGTAAAAGGGAGGTACATGTAATATGTTGTTAGAATTGCCCTTATTTAAAAAAAAATAGTAAATGTACCGTCCAAAATAGAACATACCGGGACATTTCAAATTGTGCTGTCGGCTGGGAGAAGTGGTGTGTACTTCAGTCTTTTTCATCATTTTACGTGCAGGACCACAAATTTTCCCGGAACTTTTCCGATAATGAAAAAAAGAAATAAACGTACCGTCTAAAATAAGAACGTACCGGATGGATCTTGAGGCGAAAAAAAAATAAACGTACCGGTACGTTTATTAGAGAGGTGAGAGTAAGTTCATTTGGCATTTGCCTAAGACACATCTATAACAAATTTCAGGTCGTTTGGTTTTAATACAAGGGCATAAGAGCATTTTGTCTGGAAAGAGCAGAAAAACTTATTTTACACAAATTCAAAGTAGTGTTTACCAAAAATGTGAGTATAGTTCTTTGGGCATACGTCAAAGGCACTCCTAAACCAAATTTTAGGTCATTTGGTTGTAATATTAGGGCACAGGAGCCAAAAATGTACATTTTTTGTCTGAAAATAGCAGAAAAGACCTGTTTCACACCATTTTAAAGTGATGTATGCCAAAGCTGCAAATGTCATTCTTTGAGCATATGCTCAAGGCACCCCTGTACCAAATGACGAATTCTATATTCCGTATTTCCGTAGAAAGACATGGTACAGGCTAGGTAAATAGTATGTTGCTTCGTTCACAAAAAGACACTCTGACCACTATAACTACGATAATCATCTTCAAAAAGCCTACACTATATATACACACAACACCCTCCAAAACAATATCACACTGTCGAAGGCATGAGTCCTCCGAACTCTAGTTTTTTTTAAATCCAATTTTAACGTAATTTTTCCTTGAAACGGGGGTTAGATTTTGGTACCTTCAATAAATAGCCAGAACCAGCCTAAGATACAAAAGAGGAAATGGTTTTTCATCATCAATGTCATATTGTGACCTCACAAATAATACATGTAGTATGCTCTGGGATAGGGTTGATTCAACTTACTGGTCAATGTTCCAGCATTCGCACGTTCAATGCGTTCGATCTCGGTGCTTTCTCTGTCTGCTTGTGTTTCCCGTGTACAGATTATAACAGAATTTAGCCATATCTGCTGGCTCATACAATATTCTGTCCACCAACACCTAACGCCAACCCAAACCCTAGTAGGACCCAGGATCCCTCTAACTGAGGGGGGAAATACATGTAAAGTGCCTTTCCCAAGGACTTTCGTCTGGGTGCATGTCCGGACATGTCTGGGTCCAACCTGGGGATTGAACCTGGGTCTCCTTACTTGACAGTCGGATGCTCTATCCACTACACTACACAGACGCCACAGTCATTCCTTTATTTTTGGTACCTTCAATAGCCAGAACCAGCCTAAGATACAAAAGAGGAAATGGTTTTTCATCACCAATGTCATATTTTGACCTCACAAATAATACATGTAGTATGCTCTGGGATAGGGTTGATTCAACTTACTATATTAAAAGAATGGTCCGAAAATTGACTTTGAAAATTGAGTTTTGCCACCCTGAAATACAGTTTTGGATGCCTTCAAAAGGAAAGAAGAGGTTCAATAAAACCTGAGATTACGTTATGCATGGTACATGTATATCTGAAAAATGATTTCATACACTTCTGCTGGCCATTTGAAGTTGCGGGTAGCACCTACATGTAGCGTCGACATGTTGGCCACGGCCATTTTTCTACTCCCCGACTTCATGAATGTAACCATGAAGTTTTAAAATAACTAGGACTGGCCAATGTTCCAGCATTCGCACGTTCAATGCGTTCGATCTCGGTGCTTTCTCTGTCTGCTTGTGTTTCCCGTGTACAGATTATAACAGAATTTAGCCATATCTGCTGGCTCATACAATATTCTGTCCACCAACACTCAGAAGTGGGTAAGACTGATTGCTTACCATCATGTCCACCTATTCTGTCTGGCCAAACAAACACACACTAACCCACTAACCGTTCACGGTTATGGTTCTTACATACATGTACATACATACATACATACATACATATCCAGAACCAATACCAAATGAATGTTCCCCTCTTCAGGATTGGTCACCACAGCACTAGTGATGACAGCACAGCATACAGGTCTGTTGATGAGGTCAACTACTGGGATAAGCAGGATCACCCTATTGGTCGGCTGCGACACTACATGGTGAACCAGGGTTGGTGGGACATGGAGAAGGAAAAAGCCTGGATGAAACAGGCCAGGAATGAGGTAAGCCTATTAATACCACATGACACCAATTTAATTTGTTGGTTTTCGGATTTTTTCAGAAAAAAAATGAAAATACTGCCAATAGGGCAAAAAATGATAAATTAAAAACAGGTCTAGGCATCCTATTATAGCCCAAAATGCTACGATTGGAGCCATGAAGTCAACACAAAAGGCTGGGTTAATATTCTAACAATAAATTTCGAACTTTAATCAAACCACTGCATTGATAGATGGAAAAACTGCAACAACTAGGAAGAAAGGGACTTTCCTCAACTGTTGGGAGCAAAATATGAGCATTTTTTAGTTGATTAAGAATTGCAAATCAGAAAAAAAAGAAGAGGGGAATCCGAGAACCAAGTTAAATTGGTGTGGCAATTGGCAACAGAGGTAACAGTGTATCAGGATTGCTCATATGGCTGACACAATATGCATGTATAAACAACCATACTAGAGTACCAGATACAGTAAATAAAATCAATGGTGCATAAGGTATACATGTACATATAACTTATAAGAATGGGATTACAAGAAACTTTGACCTATGACCTTGACATTCACAAAAAAATCATATCATTCCATTAGTTCAAATTTGCTATTACCTGCTATAACAAACCAGGAATACTAGCTTTTAATAACTGGTAACAGTTTTTTAAGTGTGATTTTAGGCTGGTTTAGACTTGTGTAACAAAGTTTATGTTCTGACTCTTTCCAGGTCATGCAGGCATTCCAGCGAGCTGAGAAGAAAAAGAAGCCCCCTCCTTCGGAGCTGTTTTATGACACGTACAAGGAGATGCCCCCCCACCTGCAGCAGCAGAGAGAGCAGATGAGGACACACGTGGCACAGTACCCAGAGAACTACCCTCTGGACAACTTTGAAAAGGACAGGGACTAGGTGTATTTATACTGGGTGTTACAATGTATATTATGTAAATCAAGGTTGCTTAGTGAGTTTCTCTAACTGGTGGTAGAGCCGGTGTCACACAGCAGAAAAATAGCTCGCTCCACGAGTCTGCAAGTTCTCAAGGACATTATTAGCAGCAATACCACCGCTGTTCACCATTTTTAGGGCTCGCCCAATGTCCATAGGTCATTGAGCCCTGTCCAAAGTGACAAGGTAGATTTTCAGGCTAAAATAAGCTTGGCTCTCTGACCATTTTGAAATTTGGTGTGATGTTGTCATAAAGGTTTAAACTAGGGTCATGATTTCCTAAGAACTAGTGGATAGTGGGAAGAATGAAAATATTTTGTATATGTAAACAAGCCTGAGAATTCAGCCCTGGACTGTCCTTTTTTAGAAATAAACCATTCTAATACTACTACTGCAGTTGATTTTCTGACACCACTTGTCAGAGGAGAATTAGCACATTCCTGGAGAAATTGTCAATCCTGATTGTGGACATTTAGAAGTCTGGCCATCAGCAGGCAGGGTATTTATGTACATGTATCAGCACTAGTGCTGTGTACCTAAACCCACATTTAGGTTCAGGTCCGGATTCAAGTCCAGAGGTTTAGGCCCATGGCATATACAAAGTTGAATGTTGGCAACCTTGCAATGTTGTTTGGGCAAAACTTTGGCCACATAACATGGAGGCCAGTACTTGACAATTCCCGATGGCAATGTTTTCTTCATTTTGCAGCAAAGATTTTGCAATCCACAGATGGTTTTAGGTGGTTTGGAAAGAAAAGGGGTATGTGAATGATGTTTTATGGTAATAAGTCCGGACTCAGTTCTTGACTTTTAGGTTTTAGAACATAAACATTCTTACAAGTCCAGATCCAAGTCCAGTGAACCGGTACACAGCACTAATCAGCACTATTGAGTGTCGAAAGTTTATCCAGGCAAGTACTATTGAGATAGCCTGGGTGCCATCTGGTTTGTAACGGCAGCCAAATTTTTGGGGTTACCGTTACAAGTCAGATGGCACCCAGGCTATATTTAGATGTGGTGTTACCATAATTATAGTAGTGTGGTTTTGTACATGTAGCGTGTGATTAACTAAACATCCAGTAGAGCTTACATATCTGTCAGCATGCTGCACGCCAAAAAACAGTTACTCAAGCAACTGGATATGATTTTGAAAACGTCAGACGTTTCAGCTAGTATCCACTAGCTTTCGTCAGTGACTGAGAGACCAGAGGGGAAAGCAGGTTTTTAAGTACAACCTGTTTATTGATATGCAAATAAAGTGAAGACAAATTTTTGGAAGTCGAAAAAGGAACAAAAGTTAGACAAGTCAAGACAAAATGATGCAAATTAGTCTGACAGCTCCTGTTATACAGAACAGGAGCTTAAGTGTTGTCTGTCCTCGGGGCTGGGAGTGCCAAATCCCAAGTGCCAGAAAGATCGACTCGTAGCCCCCCTTCCCTGTTGAGGGTGGGGTTGTACATTCTTTCATATATTGCCTCTTTGACACCCCGTTCCACCAGCGTGTTTCGCGGTCTAAGATATCCGTGGACTCGAGTTTGAAAGAGTGACCCTGGTTGTGTTGTAGGTGGTGGAAAATAGCTGAGGAGTAGCCGTTGGCACTAGGTCGGCAATGTTCTTTGATCTTACTTTGAGCGGTCGACTTGTCTCTCCAATGTAGGTGTTGTTACAATTGGGCTCCTCACATTTGAGTCTGTAAATAACATTCGCCTTGGTACCTTTGTGAGGTCGGTCCTTAGGGTGTACCAGTCTTTGTCTGAGGGTTGAGTGAGGTTTGAAGTTAGTGGCTATGTTGAAGTTTTGGAAGATCCGTCGGAGTTTCTCAGATACTCCTTGGACATACGGAATAGTGATGTTGGCCTTGTTTTTGTTGGTCAATGGTTTGCACTTCTGGGTTTTCTTAGACTGATCTGAAGGTTTGAGCGCTTTGTTGAAAGTCCAGTTTTGGTAGCCACATTTAGCCAGGGCACCTCGGAGGTGTCTATGTTCGTCCGTTTTGGCTTGGTCTGAAGTGACAATGTTGTCTGCACGATGGAAGAGAGTTTTGATCACTGCTAGTTTGTGTTCCAAAGGGTGGTGGGAATCAAAGGCCAGGTACTGATCAGTGTGGGTTGGTTTCCTGTACACTTCGAAACGAAGGTTACCATCTTCCTCTACGATAGTTTTGGTGTCTAGGAAAGGGAGCATGTTGCCATGACTTGGCTCCTGTGTGAACTTGATGTTGTCATCTATCTGGTTGATGTGGTCAAAGAAATCAGCAGCTACCCTCTTTTTCAATCTGCACCAAGTGTCATCTACATATCGAAACCAGTTGGCCGGGGGAGTGTCATTGAAAGTGCTGAGGGCTTTGTTTTCAAACTTCTCCATGTACAGGTTTACAACAATTGGTGAGACTGGTGATCCCATAGCACAGCCGTGCATTTGTTGGTAGAACTGTCCTTTGTAGGTAAAGTATGTGCATCCTAAGCAGAGTTCTAGTAGCTCACAAACTTGGTCAACGGATAGGTTGGTTCTATCTGCAAGTGTATCGTCGGCTTCCAAGGCTTCCCTGACTACTGACACTGCTTCCTGTACACTTAAGCTCCTGTTCTGTATAACAGGAGCTGTCAGACTAATTTGCATCATTTTGTCTTGACTTGTCTAACTTTTGTTCCTTTTTCGACTTCCAAAAATTTGTCTTCACTTTATTTGTCATATCAATAAACAGGTTGTACTTAAAAACCTGCTTTCCCCTCTGGTCTCTCAGTCACTGACGAAAGCTAGTGGATACTAGCTGAAACGTCTGACGTTTTCAAAATCATATCCAGTTGCTTGAGTAACTGTTTTTTGGCGTATCGTATTACCTGGATGTCTAACCTTCATCGACGTGTCAGCATGCTGTTTTAGTAAAATGGAAGGCCTAAAAAAAGGTTGGTATTGTACTAGAATTTTGGTTGCAAAGCTTCAAATATTCATAATTCATAAATCTCCATTCATATTGATTTTTAATATAAAATAATACATCTGCAAGCCATGCAAAACTTTTGGTAGTTTAACGTTACCAAAATTGTCGAGGTTTAGTATTTCAAGACATTGTCACAACACAATGAAGCTGCATTTATATGCTGTGAATATCGCTGTGCAGTGTAATAACTTAAAAAGGAAGGTTCAATGTATGATACGAAAAAAATTAATATCTTTCAAGTAGATGAGACAGTTCTGTACATGGCAGTCAATATTAACACCACCTGTATGTTATTGTATGCATCTTTATTTTAGCTGCAGTGAAAAACATTGAAATGCATTGATTCACTACACAGTCTACAGCATAAACTAGTATACCAATGCAGGAAACATCATAAGTTACATGTATGTGTTCAGTTTTTGATAACATTAAATTTTGTAATGAAATTGAATGGTGAAAAATGATTGCATAGGGCCAGTAAGACATGTGCATGTATGTTGAAAACCATTAAGATTCATTTGTTGCCTACATCATACATGTATACAAAAATACAAATGTACAGTATTAAACAAACAAAAAATTGTAGACCACTGGAGGGTAGAGTGTGCAATGGGTATGGTGAATTGGGCATGGGGTTTGCAAGTAAAGAGCATTTGCTTCTCCAGAGAACGTTTTGAGAAGTTTATTACCTTCGCCAAGAAGGTTATATTTTCAGTAGCGTTTGTCCGTCTCCGTTTGTGATCAGCATAACTCAAGAAGCTTAATATGCATTGTCATGAAACTTGGTAGGTGGGTAGGTCTTGATGAGACCTAGAAATGATAAGATTCTGGGCCCCCTGGCGGCTTTTGTTGGTACTGCAGCAGTACTTCCGGTTTTGATATCTCGCGATCTGGACATGCTAGGGTCACGAATTTTGGCTGGTAGATAGCTCTTGGGGTAGGGAAGAAGTGACTTGAGTTAGGGCCCCCTAGCGTCATTGATTGTCAAGATTTTTGGTATGTAGGTAGCTGAAGTGATGCTTGACATAATCGGATTACAATTGTGACATGTTTCGTTAATTGAGAACGAAAAAAAACATCTGAGGATATAGATAATGTAAATGAGACCTAATTTGCATAATTTATGGGAAATTTTTATAATTATGTTTACCGAAGGAAAACATTGTTTTTACTCGATTTCCTCTTCTTCTTCTCCAAACACCTAAAAATCGTCGATATTTTCGTAATTAGAGCCTACAAGAAAATGAAAATCGGCATGCTGGTAGCTATAGGTTGGCACAGAAGACACTGAACAGTGGTCATTTTAGCCAACATAGATGTCAAAAAATGATTTTATTTAGAAAAAAAATAGAAGTGAAAAAAAGTTAGACATTTTTAAGCCAAAAAATCAAACAAAAAAGAACGCGTTTGGAACAATAGAACAACATTTCGAATTCCTGTTCGAAAACCGCGGGTCAATGACCCCAGCGCTACGGAACACCCGAGATTTCCAAATATGGGCATCCGTCCTCGTATGACGCGAGAAGAGATCGGTGGGCAGTGGTAAGTTTTCATTTTCCGTTGTAAAATACGGCCATATGAATACCAGTCTCGAGTAGAGAATAAATTGCATTGGGATTTTGGGTTCAATATCCACAAGTAGGACTACAGATTTCCACAGAACGCCGGCGACTTTGTGTAACTTTTTGCATGTCACCGTCGGCTCAAATTTTAAAAAAAGCACTTATAATTTAACTGACTTGATAGAATCTCAAAGTCGCTATTTCCTTTGGAAATGGTCGGAAATAATTTTCTTGCGTTCCTAACGTCCCTCTGAGGTGTTAGGAGTGCAAGAAAAATACTCCCGAACCTTTTAAAAAAATTTCCGCACATTATACGTATAAAATAATTTTGGCGGTTTTTTTTCGTGCAAAACCTATGATTTAGAGCCTGAAACGCGTTATACAGGCGAATTTTAACAAAGTCGCTATTTCTTTTGGAAATGGTCGGAAAAAATTTTCTTGCATTCCTAACGTCCCTCTGAGGTGTTAGAAGTGCAAGAAAAATACTCCCGACCTTTTAAAAAAATTTCCGCACATTATACGTATAAAAAAAATTTGGTCGGTTTTTTTCGTGCAAAACCTATGATTTAGAGCCTGAAACGCGTTATACAGGCGAATTTTAACAAAGTCGCTATTTCTTTTGGAAATGGTCGGAAAAAATTTTCTTGCATTCCTAACGTCCCTCTGAGGTGTTAGAAGTGCAAGAAAAATACTCCCGACCTTTTAAAAAAATTTCCGCACATTATACGTATAAAAAAAATTTGGCGGTTTTTTT